AAGGCTTCGTTTGGACAACTTTTTTATTATTTTTTAAAGGATGTCTTTAGCATAAAATTTTTAAGTTCAAGAAAATTTTTGCACTAAAAAATTGTTTTAGAAAGTAGTAAGAAAGCTATCCCAAATAAAGCCTAAAGCTTTGTTTAGGACAACTTTCATACTGCTTCTTAAAGCAGCTTTCTAGTACAAAAATTTAAATTTTTGTTCTCAAAAGCTGCTTTAAGAAGCAATAATAAAAACTAAGGCTTCGTTTGGGATGGCTTTCTTCCTACCACTTAATGCATTTTTTTAGTACAAAAATAAATTTTTAATACTAGAAAACTGGTTTAAGAAGCAGTAAAAAAGCCATCCCAAACCAAGCCTAACCCTACATGTTATTTAAGAAGCAATAATAAGGGAATAATAAAGTTGTTCCAAGCAAAAAATTATTACGTCCGGTATCTGGATTCATCCGGACACCAATCCAGACACTCCACGTCACCCAAATACATGCACCCAGGGCCTAGTGTATCCAGGTGATGTGGCATGTCTGGATTGGTGTTCGTGTTAACTTTAAAGAAAGAATAAAGCAGAGTATGCAGGAGAAGTATTCTATGTATTCATCATCATCTTAATACAGAATACAAATGAGTATATATAAAGTAAAACTAACGGAATACAGTAGAGGTTTGTTAGAGTATAGTATTGTCATGTTGCATAGCACGTGAGGAAGGAATATTTGCATATGCTAGTAACCGTCTAGTGGTGGTTGTAAACCTTTCTGTTTGCCTTCCTGTAACATGCCCCGCCAAACTGATGTTGCTGGAGCAGTGATTAATTTGCTTGAAAGAAGCTTAAACCAAGAGATTGATAAAGCTTTGGTGAAGACATCAGCTAATTGATCCTCAGTAGTAACGTGATGTACTAGAATATGATTTTTTTGAATACAATCCCGAATGAAATGACAATCCACTTCGATATGTTTGGTACGGGCATGCAAAGCTGGATTATGAGCTAAAGTGATGGCAGAGGTATTTTCATAATAGACTGTAGCAGTAAAGGTCGAAGCAGTAGAAAAATCAACAAGTAAAAGCCTAAGCCAAATAATTTCGGACGTTGCAGCATCTAAAGATCGATATTCAGCCTCTGTAAAAGAGCGAGCAACAGTGTGCTGCTTCTTAACCTGCCAGGAAAGCAAGGATTTTCCTAAGAAATGACAGTTAACTGAGATTGACTTACGATCAGAAGAATCACCGGCCCAGTCAGAATCTATATAGCTATGTAAGGTAATTGAATCTCTATACATCGGTAACCCATTAGCAATTGTTCCTTGAATATAACGCAAAAGCCGCTTAAGAGCATCAAAGTGGCAGTGAAGCGATTTATGCATATGTTGGCAAACTTGCTGGACTGAAAAGAGATGTCTGAACGAGTAAGTGTCAAGTATTGTAAGGAGCCCGCCAATTGTCAGTAGAGTGCAGGATTGGAGAACTCAGCAGAATCAGAAGTTGTTAGCAGCTTTTTAGGAGAGCTGAGAGTAGAAACAAGCTTAAAATTTTGCATACCTGCTCTAATTAAAATTGTTTGAGCATATTGAGCTTGATTTAAGTGAACACCATATACTGTTGGAGCCACTTGTATGCCATGAAATTGAGAAAGTGATCCAAGATTCCACATAGAAAATCTGCTTTGGAGATCAGTGAGGAGATGATTTAAGGTAGACTGATCATTACCGGTTAATAAAATATCATCTACATGTATAAGAATGTAGAGAAACACTGAACCAGAATGATAAGTAAGAAGTGATGGATCAACCATACTGAACTGAAATCCAAACTATTGTAAATGTGTCGACAATGTGGCATACCATTGTCGAGGAGATTGTTTCAATCCGTAGATAGCTTTCTTGAGTCAGCATACGTGATGTGGATGAAGAACATCATTACATCCGGGAGGTTGTTTCATAAAAACATTTTCCATTAAATGCTCATGAAGAAATGCATTAGATATATCCAATTGAAGGACGGGCCACTAGTGATAGAGTGCAACAAGAATAAACACCCGCATAGTAGGTATTTTTGCAACCGGACTGAAAGTCTCATGATAATCAAAACTGTGTTCTTATATTAAAGCCTTGAGCTACAAGATGTTCTTTGTAGCGGGCAACAGAACCGTCCGAATTCAATTTTGTGTGATAAACCCATTTGCAACAAATGACATTTTACTCAGAAGATGCCCGAACTAGATCCCAGGTACCTAATTCCTGTGACATTGCCCGATGCCAGTGATCAATTTTGGAATATTGAATATAAGATGTGGGATCACTGGATGGTTTATCATGGAACAGATTGAAAATCTGTTTTGGTTTAGTAATGCCACTTTTTAACCGTGTCACCATGGGATGAGAAGAGATAACAGGTGGCTGAATAGTTGTAGTAGGAGAAGGCTCCAATAGCATGGGTAATGAAATAGATACGGGATCACTTTGTGTGATTGAAGAAGTTGATATTGGATGCTGGTAGACTGATTGGGACAAGGCTAGTTGAGTAGAAAAGAATGCTCTAGGTAAAGCAGATGTTGGAATAAGTATAAGTGGAGGAGGAGAGTGAGCTTCGAGAGAAACGGAGGGAACGGCAGATAACTGAGCAAAAGGATAAACGGATTCATTAAAAACAACATGGAGAGAAGTATAGACTTTGTTGGTGGAGGGATCGAAACAACGATAACCTTTTTGATTTATAGCATAACCAATTGAAACACATGGACGAGACATGTGATAAAGTTTAGTGGAGATGTAGGGACGAAGTTAAGGATAACAAAGACAACCGAACACATGAATGTGATCATTTGTGGGAACTTTATTATAGAGATGCTCATATGGTGACAAAGATTGATTGTTTGGGGAAGGGAGACAATTGATAAGATACACTGTGGTAAGTAAAGCATCAACCAAAAAATTTTGAGATAACTGGGCTTCAATAAGAATTGAATGTAACATTTCAACGATGTGACGATGCTTACGTTAAGCAACCTCATTTTAAGATGGAGTATATGGACAAGTGAATTGATGAAGAATGCCACAATGTTTGAGGAAGGTGGTAAAAGCCGTGTTAACAAATTCACCACCACCATCCGTTCTTATGATTTTGATGGAAGCATTGAAATGGCATTCAATAATCTTTTTAAACTTAAGGAATTTGGATAAAGCATCTAATTTCTTAAGCAAAGGATAAACCCACATAAAGCGAGTGAAATTATCTATAAATGAAATGTAATAACTAAAACCAGACATGGAAGGCAAAGGGCCTGGACCCCACACATCTGAATGGATAATATGAAAACTAGTATTACATTTAGAGATAGATCTAGGAAAAGGCAGTTGGTGGATTTTGCTAACCAACATGCATTACATGAAACAGAATTGGAAATACAAATAATAGAAATAGTTTTAGCTAAATGAGATAGCGTGGAAGCTGACGGATGTCCCAATCAGCGATGCCAAAGATCCGGAATAGCTTAGACTGAGATAAGAGCGAGATGAGGAATAGACAATGGAGCGGTTCGCTGAATATGAAGAGGATAATGACCGTTAATACACGAACCCTGAAGAAGAGGCTGCTGGGTCTCCCGGTCCTTAATGATGTAACCATTGGAAGAAAAATACATATCACACGAATTATCAGTGGTAAGACGATGAACTGAGAGCAGGTTAAAGGAAAGATTGGGAACATGGTGAAGTTTAAAAAGTTGCAGAGTACCTGCGGGGGTCAGAAGAAGACCTTTACCCGTATTTTGGATAGGAATTTGTTGTCCATTTCCCATGATTACTTGATTGGAGCCAGTATAAGGTTGAGAAGCTTGAATATAGCTAGGATCCGACATAAGATGAGAAGAGGCCCCACTATCCAGGTACCAGTCAAGCGAGTTTAGTGTAGCATCCGGCTTGAACAGAGCAGGTGACGGTTCTATGTTATATTGAGGATCATGGCAGTACCAACATTTGATGGTCGAGTGTCCCAATTTGCCACATATTTGACAGTTTATAGGAGGCCTTGTAGTCCTTCCACCACGAGTTGAAGAAGCAGATACTTGCGGATTTCTGAAAACATAGGAGGAGCGTCCACGGAACAAATTTGAGCGTTCACGACCTCGTCCTCTCGGAGCAGCAAGTGCGATAGATTGTCCTGCAAGTTGAAGAAAACTGAGATCACGGGTAACCTCATGTGCCAAGTTGAGTTCCTCACTACACAATAACGTGTAGAAATCATCCAATGACAATGGTTGAAGATTTGTTCTAATTGTTGTTTTAAAGGCTTGATACGACGCCAGAAGAACATTTAAGGTATGATGAATAATATCCTCAGAATCAATTTGAACACCCGTTGCTGCAAGAGAATCCACTTTGGATTTTATTGTGAGAAGATACTGAGCCATAGTTTGTTCTTTCATGGTGCAGTGATATAATTTGTTTTTCAGATGACTAATCCTGGAGATGACTGAAGCCGCCGGCCAATGGTTGTCCAAATATCCGCATAGTGATCCAACAACAATACATATGGAATTAGTGCTGGTGAAATCACTGAGTACAATGCAACCGCTATGTTTTGATCGATCAAAACCCAAGTAGTGTAATGAGGATTAAGAGTAGATATTCCAGAAGCATTTGAAATATTTTAAACTGGACATAGAGACGAACCATCTAAAAATCCTTCAAAACCATTTGCACGAAAAAGTTTAAGAACTTGAGATCTCTAGGTGGGATGATTCTCAGTTGTCAGTGGAGTTGCAACGATATTCTTGACATTTTCCATCAAGAATTTAAGTTGCAAAGGAATCAGAGTATTGTCTATTTGCAAGCCAGTGTTGCCCAGTGTAGCCGATTCATTAGACGGTGATGCTGTAGAAGAGCTCATGATCGAACAGAGAAAAAAAGATAGAGAGTAGAAAGACTTATAAAAAAACCTGCTCTGATACCATGTTAACGTTACAGAAAGAATAAAGCAGAGTATGCAAGAGAAGTATTCTATGTATTCATCATCATCTCAATAGAGAATACAATGGAGTATATATAGAGTAAAACTAACATAATACAGTAGAGGTTTGTTAGAGTATAGTACTGTCCTGTTGCATAGCGCATGAGGAAGGAATATTTGCATATGCTAGTAACCGTCTAGTGGTGGCTGTAAACCCCTTTTGTTTGCCTTGCTGTAACCATCCGGATGGTGGCCGGTGACTGGACGTAATAATTCGCCGTTCCAAGCGAAGCCTAAGTCTACACGTTGTTCATTCCATTAAGAATGGAAAAAAAAAAATCCTACTCTTAAGGATTAAATGGAGCAAAAACGACCACCGAATTATGGCCTCCAATGCCGAATGAATTTGAAATAGCTGTTCACAAAAACAAACGAATAATTAAGCAATCAGAATTGTGTAATTTCTCATATAAATTAATGAATGAATAAGAAAAAAAAATCTCAGACATACCAACATGTACTTCATGGCTCTTCTTCACATTTGCAACAGTGTCAATTGTCACCTCAGGCTCCAAGTTCTGCATTACATACAACACATGAAATAAATTTTACTGAATCTGTAATGAAATTGGAGTGTTTGGGGTTTAAAGCTAAGAATCTGATACATATTGGTTAAGAGTAGGATGAAGCCAGCCTGTGGTGATGGCTTTGATGGTTGCGATCGCCTCTAGGCCCCCAGAAGCTCCCAGGCAATGTCCAATCAGAGACTAATCAGAAAATGAAATATGAAGCTCTGAATAATCTTTATAAAGTTTGCTTTGGTAGCTGAACAAAACTAGCTTGATATATGTAGATAGCTTGCCTTTGTAGCATTCATTTTTATTTCTGAAGTCTCCTTGAAAACTTTCTTAATAGCATTTACCTCAGCTAAATCTCCAGCAATGGTTGATGTTGCATGAGCATTGATATAATTTACCTAAATCATTTTGAGCGCATTTCATAAGCAATTTTGTTAAGGTTTTGTTTGGGATAGCTTTCTTACTGCTTCATAAACAATTTTTTAGTACAAAAATTATAATTTTTGTATTAAAAAACTGTTTTAAGAAGCAGTAACAAAGTCATCCTAAAGGAAACTATTGTATAGAATTTCATATGCAATATGAACGTTTTAATGCACCTCCTCAGCTGAAACTCCGGCATCCTCTAAACTCTTTTCTATACAAGAAGAAACTCCGAGCCCATCGGAGCGGGGATTGGTCATGTGATGAGCATCACAATTTATAGCTCCTCCCAGATACTCTGCAATTATAACTGCGCCCCTTCTTCTTGCATGCTCCAAGCTTTCCATGACCTTTGATACAGAAAAATACAAAGATCACACCAAATTAGTTAGATAATTAACTCTTTCAGATGCTATATGGTTCACTCTGGTTTGAAGTGTGTTCAAATTTTGCTTATGTTGTGTTGATGTCAGTTTTGTCAAGCATTTTCTAGTTTAACAATGGAGAAATTATTAGTTGTGGAAACCAGACACAGAGAATCATCCAGATAGAGTCTACAGTAAAAGTGCAGCTGCTACAATAGATGTGCTTTGACTGTTGACAGAGAAAATTCAGATTATTCTTTCTGTCCGGTGTCCGCACCTAATAATTTGCCTAAACAATGAGATTACCAGAACACCAGATCCTTCTCCCAAGACAAATCCATCGCGGCCTTTATCCCATGGCCTCGAAGCTTTCTCTGGCTGATTATTCCTCTGAGACAAAGCCCTGCAAGCAATGAAACCACCAATTCCAATAGGAAGGATGGGTGCCTCAGTGCCTCCTGTAACCATGAGATCAGCTTCGCCCCTCCTAATGTGATTAGCAGCAGCACAGAAGCAGTAGTTTGCTGTGGCACAAGCGGTAGAAATGGAGTAATTTGGTCCCATCAAACCAGTATCTATAGCTAATAATGCTGAGCCCATATTTGTTATAGAGTAAGGAATAAAGAAAGGTGTAATTCTCTTATTACTCTTTCCTGTAAAAGCGTCTACTCCATCACTATAAACAGTCAAGCCTCCCAATCCTGAACCGATAAGAACTCCTGCCCTGGACTTGTTCACCTAAAGAAGGAAATATTTATTCAGGTGGAAGGCTTTCTCTGCTCAATCAAACAAAATGCTGAAGCACTAATACTTACCGAGTTTAAGGCTTCATTTCCAAGCTTAGCATCTTCAAGAGCTTTTCGAGCTGCAACAATGCAGTATCTCCAACAGTCATCAAGCCTGCGTTCTCTCTTTCCATCAATGTAATTGTTGGAAGAGAAATTTCGAATTTGGCCTCCAAATTGAACGGCAAAGGAGGAGGCATCGAACCGGTCTATGTAACTTATGCCACTTTGTCCTTCTAAGAGCTTGTTATAGAATTCATCAGTGTCAGTCCCAAATACTGATACTAAGCCCATCCCTGTTATTACTATCCTCTTCTTGGGATCTTTCTCTCGTTTTGGGGCCATAATGGTGGGGAAAGCCATTGCTATGAACTTGGAGTTGTTGCCACCTGAATAAGAAATTTCAGGACTAGAGTTATCAGCATAGTATCAGTGCCATGAAATAATAAAGCAGAATAGAATGGCTGTGTTAATTCTTTTCCTTTATTTGGATGTCAGATTTAGGGTTGGTGTTCATGCCATTTTTTTCTTTCATTTTTTGGGGCAAATTTCGGAAGAGCCCAGCAGGGGCGGAACTAGCCTTAATTTTTAGGGGGCAAATTTATAAGTAAAAGTATAGAGATTTCGCAGTATGCTGGCGGTCCCCCTAGCAGATATTGTAGAGTGATGAGAAACGTATTTCGGAACAGCCAGAGATGGCTTTCGGAACATCCAGAGAGAATTAGACGAAAACTAAGAAGTATTTCATTCTTTCTCTAGAGAATACAAGGGATATAAATACATAGAGAGAATTAAAGAAAGTACAACTTAGTCTAACGGTACAACCATGAGACCAATCTGAGAGTGCCACGTGTACCGGTGGCTAACTGCCCCCCTCAAACTTATGGCTGCGTAGTGGCTGTGAGTTCACTGGAGATATGCTTGAATCGTTGTGTTGGTAGTTCTTTTGTGAAGAGATCGGCGAGTTGATCCGTAGTGCAGATGTGATGAACAGAGATGTTATTTTTCTTGATGCAATCCCTAATGAAGTGGCAGTCGACCTCGATGTGCTTTGTGCGGGCGTGGAATACGGGATTGTTGGCAGGGGCTATGGACGATGTATTGTCATAGTATAAGGTTGTTGGAGCGTCTTGCAGTGTATGAAAATCTTCTAAGAGGCATCTAAGCCATAGGATTTCGGAGGCTTCGGCGGCCAAGGCTCGGTACTCTGCTTCTGTGGAGGAGCGGGCTATTGCATTTTGTTTCTTGACTTTTCACAAGATCAAGGAGTTGTCGAGAAAGTTGCAGAAGCCAGAGATAGACTTTTGATCTTGGTGATTGCTTGCCCAATCTTCAACTACATAGCCACATATTGTGAGGTTAGTTCGGTTTAGAGGAATACCTGTAGGTAAGGTTCCTTGAATGTATCAAAGAAGTCGTTTGAGTGATTCTTGATGGGTTTTGAGCGGTGTTTGCATGTGTTGGCAGAGTTGTTGGACGGCAAATTGGATGTCAGGTCTTGTTAAAGTGAGGTACTGGAGTGACCCAATGATTTGTCGGTACAGGTGAGGGTTTGCATAAGGTTCATTGGATTTATTTGTCGTTGTGGTTTTGCAAGAGATAGAGGTGGAGACCGGTTTAGATTGTGACATGCCTGCGCGCTCAATGATTTTTCTAGCGTATGTTTGCTGATGGAGTAGAATGTTAGAGGTGGTTTTATATGCTTGAATGCCCAAGAATTGAGATAGAGGTCCAAGATTTCACATTTGAAAGTTGTCGTGTAGGTTAGAAAGCAATTTGTGGATTTCGGTTGGAGAGTTACCTGTAAGAAGTATGTCGTCGATGTAGATGAGGATGTAGATGCGAGTGTTTCCTATTTTGTAGGTTAGGAGAGAGTGGTCGGAAGCGCTTATTTGGAACCCGTAGTTGAGCAGGTTATTTGATAAGGTGGCGTACCACTTCCGAGGGGACTGTTTCAAACCGTACAAATCTTTCTTTAGCCGGCAGACATGTTTGGGATGAATTGAATCTTGGAATCCTTGTGGGTGGTGCTTGTAGACTGTGTCGGATAGAGTTCCGTGGAGGAAGGTTGTTGAGACGTCGAGCTGGTGTATGGTCCAGTTGTGGTGGAGACCTAGAAGGATGAGAATGCGTATTGTTGGCATTTTGGCGATTAGGCTTTTCGGTGTAGTCTATGTCGTGTTCTTGATTGTACCCTTTAGCCACTAGACAAGCTTTGTGGTGGTCTAGGGCGTTCATTTGGAATGTCCATTTGGAGCCGGAGTCCTAGGGCGTTCATTTTGGCGACGGAGTTGTATTTGATGAGAAATGTCCATTTGGAGCCTAGGACGTTCTGAGATTGGTTGGGGGGAACTAGTTCCCAGATGCCTTGAGCTTGGAGGGATTGGAACTCTTGAGACATTGTGGTGCGCCATTGTTCGGATTTAACAACTTTAGTGTAGGTCGTTGGTTCGTTGGTTTTTAGTATGTGAGTTAGATCGAATATTTTCTTTGGTTTAGAATGTCCGCTTTTGAGTCGAGTGATCATGGGGTGTCCCAGTATGGGTTGAGATTGAGTATGAGCCATGAGCTGTGGGTTGTTAGAGTTGGGGAGGGTGGTTGGTGCGGATGATGTGTGTTGGGTGTCTGATCTGTGGGGAGGAGATGGTGGATTGATGGCTTGTGAGTTGTGTGTTGGCTGAATGGTGTTGTGTTTGTTGATGGCTGAGGTGGGGTGATTGGTTAAGGAGGATGGTATGCTGGTTGTGGGGACGAGAAGAAGCGGTGGTGTGGAGGGATGTGTGGATTTGGGAGGCATGGATTGGGTTGCTTGGTTGGCATAAGGGAATATATTTTCATTGAAGATTACGTGATAGGATGTGTAGATTTTGTTAGATATCGGATCTAAGCAACGATAGCCTTTTCGGGATGTGGCGTAGCCTAGGAAGACACATGGGTGTGAGAGAGGGGAAAGTTTGTTAGATGTATATGGTTTGAGCCACGGATAGCATAGGCAGCCGAAGACTCTAAATTGATTGTAATTGGGTTGTTTGATGTAGAGAATTTCGTAGAGCGATTTGTAGTGAGTGTTTGGAAAGGGTAGACAGTTTATTAGAAGATTCGCGGTGAGAACGGTGTCGACCCAAAAGTGCGGAGGAAGGGAGGCTTGAAGGAGAAGAGTACGAGCAGTTTCGATAAGATGTCGGTGCTTGCGTTTTGCGATGCCGTTTTGAGAGGGTGAGTGAGGGCAGGTGGACTGATGAATTATGCCAGTGGAATGACAGTGAGTTTTGAATTTTTTGTTTATGAATTCACTGTCGTTATCGATGCCAAGAGTGTAAATTTTGCGGTTGCATTGGCGGTCGATGAATATTTGAAATTCAATAAATTTTGTGAAAATTTCAGATTTTTTAGCAATCGGAAAGATCCATGTAAATTTGGAAAAGTCGTCTATGAAAGATACAAAATAGTGAAATCCTTGATTGGATACAATGGGAAATGGACCAAGATGTTCGAGTGAACTAAAGAAAAATAAGATGTAGTTACTGTTAGAGATTTCGATGTAGGTAATATATGGCTTTTTGCAATTTTACAAGAATTGCACATAAGAGGAGATGTACGAATGTTATTGTTGCGCTTAGAGATCATGGCCAAAGTTTGAGCAGAAGGATGGCCTAGACAACGATGCCAAAGGTCTGAAATGTGTTGGATTGAGAGTAGAGCGAGCTGATCTGTTTGGTGAACCAATTGGTGCTTGATGTGGAAGGGGTATAGACCATTAATAGAAGGACCCGTGAGAAGAAGGCGGTGGGTCTTCCGATCCTTTATTTCGTAGTCGTGAGGGGAAAACATAATAACACAGTCATTATCTTGAGTTAGTTTGTGCACATATAATATGTTGAAGGAAAGGTTAGGAACAAGATTGAGATTCATTAGTTTGAGGCTACCTGTAGGTGTGGGAAGGAGACCTTTACCCGTAGTATAGATAGGAAGTTAGTGACTGTTTCCAAGAACGAGTTGGCTAGAGCTGTTGTATATTTGAGATTGTTGAAGTTGATTTGGATTGGATGTGAGGTGGGTGGAAGCACCACTGTCAAGGAACCAATCAGAGGGATTAGGTTGGGACGGAGAGGTAAATAATGCGGGCGTAGGTTCGGTGTTGTACAGCTGGTCGTCGTGGCGATGCCAGCATTTGATGGACAAGTGACCAAACTTGTCGCATATTTGGCAAATGATGGATGGGCGATTTATCTTGCCTCCACAGTTTGTGTTTGGGGTGTTCGGATGGCGAGCGTTGGAGCGGTCGCGATATTGGGACATCCGTCTGTAGCGGTGAGAGCCCTTTGATTTTCGGTGATGTTGAGATATTGGAGTTCTTTGGTTGTTTCGTGGGCGAGATTGAGCTCTTCGCTGCAGAGAAGGGGGTAGAACTCGTCGAGACATACTAATAGGAAATTTGTGTGAATGGCCATTTTGAATTCTTGATATGTATTGGGGAGACCGTTGAGGGTGTAGTGGATGACGTCTTTGACATCGACCGGTGGCCCGGCGACAGCTAATGGGTCGACTTTCTATTTGACGTTCGAGGAGGAATTGTGTCATGGATTTGTCTTTCATCGACAAGAAATGTAGTTCGTTCTTGATCGGGTGCAAGATTTGAAGTAGGATATCAAGAGTATGCCAGATTTCGGTGCAGTGGTCGACGGAGAGAACGGAAGGGAGGATTGCTGGAGAGATGAAAGAGTAGAGGGCAGCGACGAGGTTTTGATCGATCAAGATCCATGTTGAGTGTGCTGGATTGGTAATTTGTTGTCCGGTATCGAATAGGATTAGGGGAGGCGGACAAATGGTGGTGCCATCAAAGAATCCTTCGAAGCCGTTCGCGTGAAAGAGTTTGAGCACTTGAGATCGCCAGAGTGAGTGATTTTCTGCTATGAGGGTTTGGGTGACAACATTTTTGACTCTGCTCATCAAGAACTTATGAGAGGAGGGGATTTGAGGCGATGAGAAGGCGCCATCAGAGTTGAAGTTGTCCGCCTGAATTGGTGAGGAGGTGGTTTCTGTGGAGGCCGCCATTGCGGGAGTTGAGGTCATCCTGAGAGGAGAGGAAGTAGAACCAAGACGTCTGATACCATGTAGAGTGATGAGAGACGTATTTCAGAACAGCCAGAGAGAAATAGAGGAAGACTAAGAAGTATTTCATTATTTGTCTAGAGGATACAAGGGATATAAATACACAGAGAGCATTAAAGAAAGTACAGCTTAGTCTAATGGGACAACCATGGGATCAATCTGAGAGTGCCACATGTACAGGTGGCTAACAGATATACCATAATTAACAAATTTTGGTTGCCAGGATATTTTTGGATTCTCTTTACTATTTTTTTTGTGTTTGGTTCATCGTTCTCTAACAAT